GGCCCGGCGGAGCGGTCAGAGCAGCACTGCGCCAGCCGGCGAGCGAACTCTCGCTCGACTATATAGTACGGGCTCTACTGAATGGCCTCAAGGTGCTCTCTAGGGCTGCCCTATTCCGGCTACGTCGCTGAGCTTCGAAGGAAAGGTTTCGCTCGTGGCGTCGGAGAGCTGGCGAGTTGAGACCACGCCTCACTTTTTCACAGGGGGGGGATCCGTCTGGAAAAAGGACTGCGCATGCTCGAGCCCCCGGCGAGGGCTTGTGCTGTGAGTAGCAGGCGTGGTCTCTACTCGCCAGGTCGGAGAGCATTCTTCGGCGTACGGCACGCCGCCACCACACAGGGATCTTAAGGAGACTAGGGGTGTTGATGCGCTAGCCGTCGCCCACCCTTGGGCGTCCGCCTCTTCCTATCTCTCTTCGCAGTATGTATGTATGTAGAAAGATGAACAACAGAAGAGAGAAGACAGTCAGGCTCGGACTGGACACCAACGCGGTATGGCAGTCTCTCGCCGATTCAAATTTCCAAAATCAAACTGTGAGAGGGCTTGAGCAGTAAAAATTCTTTTCATCGATCGCCGATAAACTTGAGTGAGGCATTGAATTCTTTTCATCGCCCACAAAGTTCGATCTTCGATGGCCGATCTCAGGGTCTGAAGCGCTCGGCGCGCTTACCCTCGCCCGCATACATGCGCAGCTCGCCTGGCAATCAGGCCTCTCCAAACCTGAAGCGCGCACGCACCTCGTGGGTCACGCCTGGCCAGTCGCCGCGCGCATCGGCGTCCGTGTCAGCCGCCACCTTCAGAGCGGACCCGAGTTCGGGGCCAAGTCCTGCCCTTCACCCGCAGCAGAGTTCGCTCACGAGCCCGGCGATGGAGCGCCTCTCCCTTTGCGGCGACAGGGCGGCGGCCCCTCCGTTGCTCCTCGGCGGTGACTGCGGCGGCGGCGGCAGCGGCGGAGGCGGCCGCGGGTTGGCGGTGTCGCCTGTGGTTGGCACACTCGGCTGGCGGCGGCTACAGAAGCCGTCGGGCCAGCTGGCGGCGGCGGTGGCGGCGGCGCTTGGTCGGCTGGAGGACGTGGACGTGCTGCGGCACGGCGTTGCCTTCCGCGTCCACGCGCGCGTCCGCTTCGCCGCCGGCCTCGCCCTCGCCCCCCTCCCCGCCTTGGCGCCTCCGCCGCCCTCGTCCACCTCGCCGGTGTCCAGCTCTCCGCTGCGCACGTCCCCCCTGAAGGGCTCCCCCGCCCTCTTCCGCCCCTCCTCGCACCCCTCGCCGCATCCCTCTCCCGAATCCGTGCAACCGCGGCGCAAGTCGCCGCTGCAGCGGTCGCCTCTCAAGGGAAGCAAGTCTCGCGAGGCTCCTGTCGTCGAGTCCTGCTGCGCCAACCTCACTGGTCGCTGGACTTGCTTCGCAATAGGATCGCCCCTCACGCGGTCTCCGGCGTCCGGCTTCAAGAGGCCCCTCCACCCTCTGGTCCAGCCGGCAGGTCCTATTCACACCTCCTATTCACGCCTCCGGCCCAGCCGGCAGGTCCTCCTCCTCGTCCCAGCTCGCGCTGCCCAAGCCGGGCGGAGCTGTGCAGGTGGAAGGGGGGGGAACCCGCGAGCCCGAACCCCTGACCCCGCCGCCACACCTGCCCTGGCCCGCGAGCCCTACTCTCGGCCGCCCTTTGCCCGCGCGCGCGGCGCGAGCGCGCACCCCACCCCACCCCACGCCTCCGCCCTGGCCTGAATCGCGTACCCACCTCCTGTCACCTGACCAACTCTAGTAAACACCTCTCAAAATTAACCCTTTTCTACTCGCTCCTCGCCTCACCTTCATGTCCTGCGCACCGCCGCTCCAATAGGGGCT